AAATCAGATGATTAATAGTGCCACATAAAAAGATGGAGACAGTTGTTTTTCTTCACAGAATGAGGCATCTGTGTATCTCATATGAAACTGCATCTATCCTTAAAAGATTGGGCAGGCAACATGTTTCTGGGCCCTTGTAAATCCACAGTATTGTAGGTTGGTGCGCTAACACACAATCTTATCTATATTAGTTTAGTTGTCAATTTTTTTTAAACTGTTCACACTGGCAGTCTTTGCTGCGTTTACAAAACACTGAATCACGTTTAGATAAGGATATGGTCCACATCTGGCTGTTTCAGATTTGTGTTTGAAGTCCTGGATTAGGCTCTGTATGAACTATTTTATGGCTGACAAATACAACATATGGTGTTTTTGATGGAGACACTGCAATTGTTTACATATATCAGAAGCTATTTAGAACCAATATACATAACATTTTAGCAAACATAAGGGTGGGGGGAGCTCTTTTTTTCAATTAATTCAGGATTCCCCCTCCGAGGGAAGTAGTCTCCTGGAATTTTGTGAAAACAAAAGAAGCTGACATTTTCAATTCACTTCAGACACTAATTATGTTTCCTTTCCTCCAGGAAGATCATTCCCCTTCATAGACTGATCATTTTCAAGGGAAAATATCTATAATTTGCATGTATAACATTCTGAGACTTCCAGCAAATTCATAAGTGTGTGATGAATTGTTCACATGACTCAACTCAGCAGCAGATGGCAATCAGCAAGAACTGGAGGCCATCTGCCTGTATTATGGCTGGAGAGGTTTATTTTGCAGAGATCATCTGCATGTCTCTCCTTCCCACACTTAAATTCAGCAGGATACACAGTTATGGCAAGTTGAGCCAGACACAATTACAAAGATATCACCAGTAGCCAGATCATTTTCATTGGCTTCAGATGAGACTGAAATGTTCCACCATCCAGCAGTGTAAGCAATGTAATTTTCCAAAAACATAGTAAAGAATGCAAGAACCAAAGATCAACTAAACAACGCACATGTAACGAAGGCTGCATGTGGCCAATTATCTTGAATCTCAAAGCACATTTGAATCTTGTGATATCTTCTCACTTGGTATTGCTTTCTGTATTATGGGAATGTTTTACCACTTTTTAATCAGATCAGCTAAGTGATGAGCTCTCAGGCTTTCCAGCCTTGAGAAATCCTATTTCAGGAACACACATATTTGTTATTCCTTCCACTGCCTCAATCAGAGAGTAAGCTATCAAAGGCCACATTCAAAGTATGCCTGAGCCCAACCCATGCAATGGATTCCTTCAAGATCATTCTGAATCAGGGATATTGGTCTTTGTACCACAAATGGTTTAATTTAGGTCAAATTAAATAAATTAATTGTGAGAGAAAATTCCAACACTTCAGGGTACTCCTGTAATTAATTCAGCAACAGGTCGAACAATAGACAAAGAGAAACCCAACCTCATGTAGAGAGCAATCACAGTTTTAAATAAGAAAGTAAAAATAAATTACAACTGATCTTGATACTCTGAGTTAAGAGAGTAAGGGGGAAAAAAATCAGTCTGAGTTCCTGCTCTTGCTGGCTACCCAGATGCCTGCTGGAAGGAAACGATAGGACCAGCTAAATTGAGTGCTTGAACCATATCAATAGAACCTCCGTTCATCAAAGATTTTTTGGCAAACTTGCTTTTTGTTGTCAGAAACAGAAAGACGGAAAGAACAATACAATTTTGTCATGTCACAATAACTGTGAGGTCCCATTTCTCTAAGGGCACAGGATAAACTGCCAACACATACTGTCAAAGCTCTGACACAGAAATAATGGCCATTGCTTTCAGAGAAGGAGGAGGGAAGGGGTGAAAATTGGATGGGTAAATGTATAAACTGAACGATTTAACCGCAGCAAAAGTATCATTTTTGTTTTGATCAACTAAAACTAGCGCTGCCACTATACAAATTTACAATTTTTCTAATATACAGGAAGTATACATTATTTATTATTTAACTGGAAATGAAGCAGCTGGAATTTACTTGCTGACATGAGTAACCAGGGAAACCACATTGGGGGGAAAAAAATCTCACTAAACAATTCAATTCCTTGCAATACTACAGCAATGATGTATGAACTTGACAGCCCAGCATAAAGGAGATTCAGAAATGTGCATTGTAAAGGGATCAGGCATTATTCTTCTGTGTCAAGGTAGCAAGGATGTTGATAAAAATCCTTGCATTTATACATCAGTTCAAAGCACATTGTAAAATTCAAAGCTATGACAGGTTTCCCTACCATAGCACTGAGTGACAATGAATATAATTCTGATATATCAAATGCCAGAATTATTCTTAATATTATAATAACTGTGATAGTAAACAGATTAACCTCAGTGCGCTCAGTGGCCTTTTCTCAAGTTTGACTCTTTGTTTGATCTTATACTACACTTCTCAATTGTGTGTGAATTATGAAGTTACTGTATCAACACAATTTCCAAATGCACACAGCTTCACTGATGCACTTGTATGATGGTGGGGGGGGGGGGGTTGAGATGAATTAAAAGAACTGTAATTTTTTTTAACACATCGTTACATTGCCCAATTTAATTATCATAAAATTAATTCAGACACATATTGATAGAACCGAAAGCTTAGCATTTTTTTTTGCTTTTGCATCAGCAAGAAAAATATTGCTTCAGCTAGCAGATTCGGTTGTAAACAGGTACAGTTAGTTCATTGCTGGAAAATGAGGTAAATGGAACTGAATCGATGGTTTTAAGCGTTTTGAAAATAGAAGGTACTTTATTTCTGTTGTTCTCATTTCCCTCTCTTCTCTTGAAGATACTGCAACTTGTGCTGGTATAGTTTTACAGATTGGGTGGAAGGGGGCTTTAGAGCTAAGCCAGTCATATCCTTGCCTCACATTGACATACACAGACACACTTCCCATGAATAATGATTAGCAGAGGTTGAATTTTCTCATCTCTGGAAGGGGAAAACCTAAAGAACGTAGTAACATTTTCATCTCGATCCCAAATAGAACTGAAATAGAAAAACAAAATCATAAAGCTGGTGTGAGCGTTCCCCTGTCCGATTCAGGGTTTAAAGATAAATGGTTAAATGCATTGGATAAAAATGAAATCGACACTGATTCAATGGGTTTAATTATAATTGGGTAATACCGTCATAACGCAAAAAAGACACGGATCTGAAATTCAAGGTTTCAAAGTGTCTGGCATTATCTCTGTAAAGCACTCTTTATGAAAGGCTCCATATGAATACAAGCTGTTGTTTTTCTAATCTTGTCCACTTTGACCCATGTCTCCACAACAATGAACATCCAATCTTACCCGGGCATAGTTACCTTCAAAGCAAATTATATCCTAAACATGATCAATACAGAATTAAGGGTTTTAATTCCCAACTCTAAAACTGCATTGATTAAATTCAAGGTCACTGCAGCTTTCAGCACATCTTTATTGAAAATATGTCTATTCTAATTTGATTTCACAATCAGTGACATCAAAATAGTGACGAGATTTCCACCACCATCATCGAAATGTAATTGCACAAGGTCATACAGATCTTGTAATTTTAGTGGTGAGATAACAGAGCTCAACCAGGGTAGTTATTCATATGCTACAATTAGTCTCAGCACCTGGATTTGGCAGATTTGGCTGTGATGCCTCCCATGATCAAATTCCCTGCCAAGACTCGCTGTTCAGGGTCACAGATGAATGATGGCACCAGAGTGTATGGAACCAAACTCCAGCAGATGGAGAAAAATAAATCCAAACATCTTAAAGAACAATCTGCATGACTCTTGAAAACGGAAAGTGTGTTTGTAGTTTCTTTCTTTTTCTTGCTAACTTCTTTCCAAATCCAAATTTCATCAGTCAATCTGACTTCCAACTCGGCTTCTTCTATTCAACATTTTGGTTGCAGTGAACCCTGTGGTTAAATTTTGACAAACAGTTCTCTGCAGCCTTCCTCCCAAAAGAATAGCACATGTTAAAGGCTTGCAGACTCAGACTAATTGACCCAAATGGCCTGCTTCTGTGCCTTATCACTCAATTTAACTCCATGTTACTACCTAACACTTTAAACACTGATCTTTGGAATAATCTTGTTCAAGGCAATTCTAGTAATGTTTTACTCCTACCTTTTTTCAGTCCTCAGACCTGTAGGAAGCTGAAAGAACACAATCCAGCATTAGAAATGAAGGTTCCACAAGGATTTGCATTGTGATATTTTAAGTGGTGACCTGATTTCACAATTTAAGATACAAGAACTTAATTATAATAATAATAATTATTATTATTAATTATAATAATAATTTCAGTTTCTATAAATACCCGTAATTGTAATATTGCCAAAATATGCTGTTTATAATAAAAGTTAGTTTACACACTTTGACAGAGACTTGTGATCTCTTTTATTATCATGGATATATTTTCCAATACACACTTTATAATACCTCATTGTAGCCTAGGTGACTAAATATTTGTGCTTAGGTTCTCAGCGACACATTATAAAATGTTATAGTCAACGGAACTTATTTATGCTAGATATTTTTACATAGAGGACAAGACTGAAAAACAAGTTTTTTTTTCTTTTTGCCTCTCAAGAATTGTCTGACTTAAGCTGCAGTGAACATTGGCACCTATTGGACTTTGAGAGTACAATGTAGTCAAGCTCATTCTGTCCTCTCCAGAAATCCAAATAGAGTGCATGTAGAGCAATTAGGGACCTTTGCTAATTCTTCCACTCCTTCCTCAGCTAAATTACGGATGAGTACAATACAGTATTTGGCTTCTGACGGTTTGAAATGTGAGTCTGCACAGTAGAAATCCAAATCTTCATGATATACAATTTAAGCTGTGGCTCCATTCTAACAATTTCATTTAAAATGGAGAGCATGGATAGAACTGAAACACAATACCGATACTCCCATTATACTGTGCAAGCATGCTGCTTTTCGGTACTGTTCATTGAATACAAATATTGCTCTTGTTCAATTTTGCAGTTATCAATGATGGAGCACCAGATAGAGCCGCTTTTATTGATGAAGCTGGAAGTGAAGAGGATTTGTATGAGGATTATCGGAGTGCAAATCACCGCTATGGGCATTCAGGAGGAGGTGGAGAACAGCTGGCTATCAACGAGGTAACAGCAATGATGAGTCAAATTAAATACAGTCTGCCGGAAAATTAGTTTGCTAATCAAGAGGTTTCAGAACTCTGCACTCCTATCATTTTAGAATGGCCGTGTACTTTAATAGCTCTTCAAATGTACGTCCTCAAAAATTATTGAGAATCAAGATACCAGTTACCCTAGAACTTATATTGTATTCATCACAACAAATACTCCCACACCAAACATTTATATAAATGAAGATTTAAACAGTGAAGCCCCCCACCCAAAATACCATTAAATTGTAGACTTAAGTCAAGATTTATATAATTTTCAAATATTAACCATTGAAAAATTCTTTCTCAAACCAATGTAAAGCAACACTGAATTCTTTCCAAAACATATTTAATCCACACGTGATATTATTTCTAAAATCTACTGCCTCCAGATATTTGTTTTTTTTATTAATATTTTGTGCAATGGGAATTCTGAATGGGAAATATTTTTGTAATTTAAATGTTGTTCAGTGGAAGTGAAACATTGAGGAATTTTGTACTTGCACCAGGTATCCCTTAATCACCAAGTCAACCATAACATGTAATTTAAAATATTGTTGGATAAAGTAGGATGCTTTGTGTTTTGAGGGAGCTTGTTATAAAATCTTAAAAGGCAATTTCAGGCATATCATAAATTTGATATAAGTGGTTGAAATGAAGTGGTGGACCATTGAATAACACTTAATGATTGACACAAATTCATCATTTATGAGGAATGAAGCAATGATTAGATCATGTTGAATATTTTTGGAGATTAACAGGCTTCAACTGCACATTTTGTTTCTGCAACAGAAATGGTGAAATACTATCTGTACATTTAGTTATTTAGGATAAAACAAACTTCAAACGGTACTTGTTTTCCTGAAGGCATTCTGCAAAATTATGCAGTTTGTGTCATTTTGTTACTGGCTCTGTTGATTCCTTTAGCAGATAATAGTGGGCCTGGAGCCATTGCTGTGGTTATAAATTGATGAAGAGGATGGTGAATTATGTAGAGTATAACTGACAGCAGATGGAAGTGATTACGTCAGTAATTATGATTGAGAGAGTCAATGACACTACAAAGCGTATTATTTTCCTAATTGGGGTTATCTTATCTCAGCTGCAGTGTCTCTAGGATGGTACGATTAACTTTAGTGCTTCAGCTTAGGGAAGGAAACTCTGTTATTATTGCTTCTTCTGATCACAATCTAGTTAACTCTCCTCGAAATTGTGCTGGATGTAAACCTTAAGCAATCATACAAATTGGTCGTGTCTCTGATTCACTGGCAGTAAGATAATTTGCTAACACTCACTCCTGAAGCTTAAAATTGAAAGATGACACCTATATTGGCAGCCAGGATGGGTATCCGAGGAACCATATAAGCAGAAAGGAAGGAGTAAAAATACCGGCGGGGGGGCTGACAAGAAAAGTGTTGATAACAGAGAATGTAAGCAACAAAATGGGGAGCTTTCTAGAATGGTTGAAGAGTTAAATCCATAAAATTGTGCCTCTAAGCCTACATATTATACAGTTTTTTTAAAAAAAACCTGGAGATGAGGGAATGAAACAGTTAACCGAAGTCATGGATTTCAAGAAGATGATTTTTAACCCAGTTTGCACTGCACTGCTCAAGACTAATGAACAGAGCGAATTCCATGTCAGTGCAGCCTTAAGGCAGCGTTAAGTGGAGTTTATGGTTAAAAAAGCTGACGAAATCACCATTTGTCTTTGGTGCTGTGTTGCAATGAACTCCATTGTTTTCACCAAGCCCTTGTGAATTGCTCTCGTCCCCGACCCTCTGGGTACCAGCAGAAAACCTCTAGCTTATGAGTAGCTGCTTTGCCAATTAGCTGGCATTTTATTTTTAAGCATTCAGTGTCCGGGAGCCATTTGTGAGCTGCACTGCTAGAAAGAAAATACCACCATTAGCTTTTGCTGCTGCAAACAGAAGGCAATTCAAGACATTTACAGTAAGTGGGCAAATGTGACTGATTTTGTGTTGAAAGCTTCACCGCAGTGAATATTTCTTGCAGCGTGGCATCGTACTGTATTTTCAAGCAATATTCTCTTTTCAGCTTTAAGCTTCTAAATGGAGGATGCTGTTTATCCTGTTAAAACTGCAAACTCTTGCTTCGTTGGCTTCACTAGTGCTATATTTCTAATAGACCAGTTCACAGGCTGCAAAAGCTTTGTTAAACAACAGCATAAATGTTATGGAAATCCCCCAATATTTTATTCTCCCCCATTTCATCAAAATGAACGCGCTCTACAATTGCTACTTTTGACCCGATTGCATCCTTTAGGTTGAATTGAAAAGAGGGTTTGCTACTGCTGGATTCTCCTCAATGTCTAGCTGAGAATTAACAAAGCTTTCATCTAACAGTGGCAATTGGGCTCAAATTAAAAGCATGGGTTTCTGGCCCATGTCCACATGGGGGAGGTCACTTGCTTCACTGATGCCTGGACAGTGGTCTAAGGACGTTTAAGAGACGTTTCCTAGTGAAATACGTTCTCTGTTGATTTAAATTCCCATAAGTTTCACTCGTTAACTGTACAGGATCTCAATGAGTTTCATTTTCCAAATTCATCAGCTGCATCCATTTTGCTCATTACCATCAGAAGGTGTACAGTTAAATAAAAAGTGAACATTTTTTGTTGTGTGCACACATACACAAGTGCATATATTAACAACATATTGACTCTCTTTCCCTGAACCGCTATCGTATTCTTTAGATTCCTGGAGAATTAAGGCAATGACAGATGGTAGATTATAAGATTAAAGAACGACATTTACATTTCTGTGCTCCCTCTTTGGCTCCTGCCTGACTGCCTATTGTATAAGAATTAGAAAATTCCTGGAAAGTAAGAATTGGCATTTGATAAATTGTGCCTTGTATTTGCATCTTTTTACTGCATTATATATTTTCAGGCAACCTTGAGGTATTCAATTAATATACATTTCTATTAAATTTCAATGCATTTCCAAAATGAATTGAATTCTCCATCTGGGCAGTTACACATGCAACGCAGGCCAATTCCTTCAGGAGGACGTTAAACTGTAAATTGGCAATATAAATTTTAAATTAACATTTTTATGCAAGAAAGAACAGAGTACCCGCACAAAATAAATACAGCGTTTATTTAAATAATAATAATCCTTGCTTTTGATGTAGCGCCTTATCACATCTTCTAGTCATCCCAAAGTACTTTACAGAATATACAGTAAAGTGAATTGACTGTATATTTGTGGGTGAAACGTGGCAGCGAATTACGCACAGCAGTGTCCCACAAATGGTCGTGGATTCAGTGATCAATTATTAATTTTTTTAGGGATTATTATCCCCGGAAAAGCAATCCGCCAATCGACTACCAACCAGTTCCTACTTACTTATCACATCTTAGAGACAATGTGATAAGCATTGTTTGGTGCATTTGCAATATGCTTTATTGTTTTTTCCAATACAATATCAATGGAAGCAGTCCTCTGATCTGCGAGGTGAAAAACACATCATGCCTTTGCAAGCGTTACACCTGATGAAAGCTTCTTTATGATGGGTCAGAAATACAGCCTCTCTGCTTACCTCAGCATTTAAAGCAAGTCTGCTTCTTTAAAAGGGCTATTATTGTAATCAGGCAATTAATCAATCTGTGGAACATTTTAGGCTTCAGTCTTTCATTATGTTTTCCAATGCCAACTATTGTCTCACAAAACAATATTTACGGAAGGCAAAGCTTTTTGAAAATCAACCATCAGTCATTCTATTATTGCTTCACAGCAACATTTAAAATATGCCCTTGTGAAGCTGTTTGTTCTATTATATTTGGCTGAACAAAAGGCAATAGTGTTAAAGCTGACCAGGATCTGAGTACTATTTAAATACTCTGCAAGTCTATAGAGGAACTGAGAATATGATTTTCTAAACAAAAATCAGCGAGATATTGGTTTGGCTCTCACATGGTTTCTTATTTTTGTACTTCATCTTTTTCACTCACCACATTTAACTCCATGTTTCTAAGGGATGCAGATAATCAGTAGCTTGAATGCTGCATTGATAATCTGATTGGTCTTCCAGGAGGAGACGACGAACAGTAAGACTGTCTGAGAGCAACATTCAACGATATTGTGCATAAACAATATCTTAAGTGAAAACCGGTCCAGTTCCATTAAAATACAGAGCACTCAAATGTGGAGGAATGAACTACTTTACTGCAATTACAAAATAACTGATCGGTATTGACAATTCCTTTTGCAGATACAGTAAATCGAATACTGCAGTTGCCTGAATTTACCCTACGATGCAGATGTAGAGGTAACTGCAGAACTGGCATGATCAGCAGTAATCTGCTGCATTAATTGGCAGGCTATTCCACAACAGAGAATTATGCCATGGTGAAGGTTAAGGAGAAGTGGACATTTTTTCACCAGTTTTGGAGTTGTATCATGAACACTGAAACATAACAGAATATGATTTTTGACATCCTGCCCCACTTGGTGATTAAGCACTCTGAAATGCTACCCTTTGTGAAGGTGCTACACAGCAAACTCCTGATAACTTGTCACTCCAGGGAAAAGGGCTCAGTGACAAGTTATACGGAGTGGCAAGTTAGGCATATGGATAAATAATAAATAAATTAAACCAGGGTTGAGTTATCAGGAATTTACAGTATAAATGTGAGTTATTGTTATTAATTAAACAGGTTTAAAAAAAAACTACAAAAATAATTTGTCCTCATAAGAGAATTCTGGTGTTTTCTGGCGTAATAAGGTTAGTGGATGAAGCTGTCCTTGGAAAATAGGAAATTCTATATACCTTCATGAATTAAAATAAAGATACGTTAATAATTGATTTGGATGGTGCATTTCAAGGATGTGACACAATCCTGGAGGTCAGATGATATACAAGCCATTGATCTTCACTCATACAATGCCAAATGAACCCTAAAACTGTGGCACAGCTCTGAAACAACTCTAATTGCAAGTCCAGCAGTTACATCTATCAAAACCTTTTTGTTGGTCAAAATTGATAAAATCTAGATCTTGGGTAATGACATTATATGCTCATTAAAAAAAATCTGTAGGAGCAGTCTGTTATCCTTCAATAGTGTTCGTTTTAGAGGCTATAATCTTAACATTTGTGATAAATATTTTATCATCTTTTTAAAAAACATCTAGGATTTCATTTAAATTTCCTTCTAAAGAATAACATTTTTTTCAAGTATACATAGTATTGGGTGCATTAGAATCTTGCTGACATATTCCGTTATAGCATATTTGCTAAAAACAGTGGGAATAATTCAGGCTTTCCAAAAATAAACACAATGGTCTTTTTCAAACCAACAGAAACTTATTGATCTAGTACAGGATGAAGGTTGTACAATCTTGCTGATTTTCCCTCTGATATGGTATAGTGATCTAGTGGAACATTCTGACTTGTCTAATTACTTCCATTAATAATAGCTGCTAGGAGATTGTCTTAACATCTCGTATTAATCTGTAACTGTAATATTCTGCATTTAGGTCAATTCAGAATATGAGCAAAGTAAAGAGTAGCAATATAGTTAGTTCCCTTCCCATCCAATATAATTAGGCTGAAAAGTGCCTGATTCATACCAGATGTTTGGAGGAGCTTTGTTTGATTTTCTCTTGAAATGAAATTATCTTTGGAACACAATGATTCAAAACCCCCACTGTCCTACAGCTCAGTGTAGAGAAAATGCTTTACCTGTGGTTATGACAATTCTCCTCAATATGAAGTTTTAATTAGCCTAACACTCACTAATAACTACTTAACTCTAAGACTGTTACCTTAAAATTAGGATTGTGCAGTGTTTTGGAAAACTCTTAAATTCAGTCTCAATTTGAATGCCTGTTTTCCACAGATTTTTTTTTAGGAATTTGGAACCTCTGGTCTGAGGACAAGAATAGAAAGAAATGTACTCATGACTACTCATTCCTTTGCTCAAATAAATTTACGACTGTACTTGGGATCAAACATTTCCCAGATGTTAGGTGATTTGCTGAATTTGCCATCATTTCTTTTGCCTTTAGCTTTGCTAACAGTTACCAGTTATTGGTCATTTAGTTTTCATTTAGTTGGATTCTAATCCACTGCAGCAAATGAAAATGGCATCTTTCGCTGGTGTAACGCACAGCTGAAAGCAGTAAATCTAAAGTGGCAAGGCATTTCGATATTTTCAAAATGTGCTTGACTATTTGTGGGGAAAGCACATAAAAACATTAAAAACAGGACTGGAAATGATCTTTCCTCTATAAAACTAATTTAATTAGATTTACGAGATGTTAACATATTGATTTAAATGTTATGCAAGAACTATGACGATATCTTTTATGAAGCTGAGAATTTGTTTAGGATTGTACCATTTTAATATTTTCATTAATTAGTGTAACATAAACCACATACTTTCTCATTTGAGTATTTTAAAAAGTATAGAGAAGCATGACGGCGCTCTCAATTACTGATGAGTCCTGGATCACTCGTACAGCAACACCCAACACATAACTCTTCCAATTTCCTATTTTTCACAATTCTGACAATGAAGTGTAACAAGCCATTCCAGAAACAAAGTGAATAGTCATAGTCATCCTCTACATTATGTCACTAAGATGTGCCAGCATAGTAGTCAGTGGGTTATTTTCACTAAATAACTTGTTAAAAAATTTCATCCCCAAAGTGCATTGATTGCTGATGTTTTCTGGCATCCTGGCCTCTGATCAGGTATTGCTTTAGTCTGCTCCTCTGATAATAAAGTGATTAAATGAAGCAGCTGGAGCGTATTAAAGAGATGTCATTGACATCACAGATGTGGTAGCACCTAGCCTCTATGGCAATCAACTGTTGCTGGTGTTAGTTCCCAGAAATATAAATGCAGAATTAATCAAGTGTTGTTATTTATTTTCTGTAGAGATGTAAACATTGTTTAAAAGAAAATCTTTTCAGGTCTTATTTTCTGATTTCACATTTCATCATCATGCCCTGATAGTTTATTCCTGCGCTGAATGCTCCACGTCTACATCTTTAGGTAGATGTGGAGCATTCAGTGCAGGAATAAACTATCAGGATATGATGGTGAAACGTGAAATCACTAATTGACAACTAAATGCCCTAATGGATTAATCTAGGCAATCTTCTGAAAGTTCTCATTAGCTTGAATGATTTTCTTCATTAACTGCTACTGATATCTCAACGATGAGTTGGTTACCATATTGGGCATTGCAGATATTGGTAACAATCATTTTGGTTGATCAGAGGACAAGTTTAATGTACAGAGCTGTAATTTCATAATTGGGCACTGCAGCAAATTCGAGTGATTTCTAAATTCGTAAATGGTTTTGTCATTCTCTTGTTTGTAAAGCTTCTTGCTGCTTGCTCAGCTAGGAACACTCTATCCATTATGGCTTTGGTTTACAGTTGAACAGAAGCTGAGTGGGAAGAAAATCCCTACCTCTATCTGTCCCTCCAAGTCATGCTGATAAGTTGTCAATAAAGGCATTAGAAAATATATTTCCTGTATATCTTAAATTGGATTATTTGAAAAATGAGCCAAAAATTAAATTACTTTCTGGTTGTCATCGTAAATACTGTGTTTATATAAATTGGACTATTTTCTATTGGGAATTTGTTTTTCAATTTGCATCTTTATAGAATGGGTTTCCAGCAGCTCTTTTACAATGAGGTTGCAGTATTTATCACATCTCCGATTTGCCAACAACAAGAATCTATGTGCAGTATATTACTTTGTCACCATATGTTGTGTGCTTGGTTATTTAGCAGCATTCTGTTTACCACATAGGTCACTTTCTGTACAGCCCAACATAGAGAAGCTTGCAAAATTATTTATGGGACAGAAATCCAGTTTTAAGTGGTGTTGCAATCTTGGATATTTATAATACTGGTCCATCACAGGTTATTGTGTGGAATTTCCTAGAAGACTGCTCCTGACTGCTGGAACAGTTTGATGATTTCAAATAACGGGGAAGATTTTAAACTCAACAGCACCATTGTCCATCTCGTAAGATGAAACTGAAATCTATCAAATGAAAGTAAAATAAATGAAGGTGCTCGCTTACAAATATACAGCCACTATACTTCACAGTAAAATCCTACAAAGTGCTTTGAGTTGTCTCGATGATGCAATATACATAAAACATTAAACAAAACTGGAATGTTTCTGATTCATTGCAGCTCATCAGTGATGGAAGTGTGGTTTACGCAGAGGCCCTCTGGGACCATGTCACCATGGATGACCAGGAGCTGGGCTTCAAGGCTGGGGAAGTCATTGAAGTAGTGGATGCGACCAATAAAGAGTGGTGGTGGGGAAGGATCGCAGATAGTGAAGGCTGGTTCCCTGCCAGCTTTGTACGGGTAAGGACCTTTCTGTGGAGCTAACAAGGCTAACAGTGAGGTACACGCAGCAATTTCATCAAGCACCTCTCGTTATTGTATAGTTATTCCATTGAAAATAGTGAAGAAAAAGTGGTTCACAAACATCAGAATTCAAGTTCAAATTTAGTTCCAGTAAATGGTCTAATAAATCTTGTGTTAAAATAAAACAATTTTTTCACAGCTCAGTTAAACAAATGCAAATAAAATGAAATTATTGATATTGAACCTGAAGCTTTAAGGATATCATGCGACTTATCCAGTAAAAATTAGTCATTTTGTTGGTAGAGATATTTTCTCAGTGTATCACAAAGACAATATTCTCGCGTGTTTAAGTATGGTATATATTTATTACCATTTGGAATAGACCCCTAAAAGCTTAGACTGGATCAGGTAATAAACCAGCATTCGTTTCTGTTCTTGAAGCTGTGGGTTAATCAGGATGAACCCATGGATGAATACCCTGCTAAAGTCGAAGATGGCAAACCAGAAGATGCCAACAGTGCTCATCGCCGCCTGGCTACAGGCCAGTCGAAGAAAGATCAGATGAGGACCAATGTCATCAGTGAGATTATGAGCACAGAGAAAGTCTACATCAAACACTTGAAGGATATTTGTGAGGTAAATTGCAATGCATGAAATCACAAAATATATACAGATACACAAATAACATGTGCGTAGGATCCTTACCATTTGACAAATGAAACGATCCTTCAGACATGGCTGGGTTACAGTTCTGGCAAATATTTTAACAGTTGGGGTGGGGAGGAAAACAAGAGACTGACATCCCTTGAAGATGATATGTGATCCATATGACTTTATGGATATCACCTACTAGATCCCTTCTAATCTAAACATAAGCTATGGACTTCGTGACTATTTTGATAGGAGCTTTGGGAACTAATTTGGGTGAAATCAATGATAACCTATTCCTGTGTGTCTTTGAAGGAGCTGACTTGTAGTTTGAATGATTTCCTTTTTTAAACTCAGAACTGAAGATCGCAGATAGTTCTGCCTTGTTCTCCTCTTCTTCAATCTGGATCCCTCAGTTAAATCATGTATAAAAAGCAGTGTACTTTTTCCATAGGGTTATGTGAAGCAGTGCCGTAAAAGGACGGACATGTTCTCAGAGGAGCAGTTGCACACCATCTTTGGGAACATTGAAGACATTTATAAATGCCACAAGAAATTCCTTAAAGGTCTAGAGAAGAAGTTCAACAAAGATCAGCCCCACCTGAGTGAGATTGGCTCCTGCTTCCTTGAATATGTTAGTAATTATTTTTTATCTTGAGTATGTGCATTGCTATATGATTGAGGGTGGGGGAGTGGGGTGAGGGGGGAGGGTAGGAGAATTGTTTTGACAAAAGTAACATACATTTGTCAATGTATTAGGTGTGTTGTTTTGAACATTTGCAACGTTTGCCCACAAATATAGTCAATTCACTTAACAGTATATTCTGTGAAGCGATTTGGGTCGTCTAAAAGACGTGAAAAGCGCAATATCAAATGCAAGGATTATTATTATCATGAAACATTCCAACATCTGTGATCTCACAGCACTGGACATCATGAGTGCAATTCATAGAGACCTCAGAGCTTACAGAATTGTTGAGGGATTCCGTTATTCAATAAGAAATTAGCTATTTTAAAGAAAAATAATAGATCTCTGTTGGACAAGGCAGCAAACTATTTCTCTGGAAGAGGGCAAGTCAATAATAATCCCTCAAGAACATAAAACAATAATAAATTGGTCACTTCAAACCACGACTGTTTGTGGGACACTGTTGTGCGTAATTGGCTGCTGCATTTCACCCACAAATATACATTCAATTCACTTTACAGTCTATTCTGTGAAGCGCTTTGAGATGTCTAGAAGACGTGAAAAAAGCACCATATCAAATACAAGGATTATTATTATCAAGTCGTGTTAGATCAGCTAATTATTTTTAAAAGATATTTTAGTTGAAACAGTAAAGTAGTAGTGCCGAGATTGAAGGAATTTGGGAGCCCAACAGAGTGAGAAACCTACTTCAACAGTAATTTTGCTCCCTCCCACTGACAAGCTGAGAATACTCTAAACTTAATGTTACCATCAGTTGTCCAAAAATTAAGTTAGAATTAGTTCATTAGAATTATAGATTTTAAAGGCAAAGATTTTTTAAAAAAATTTTGAATAAATGCAGAGGGCATGTTAAACACTTCACACTTGGCATAACTGATCTTACTACATGTTAAATTCAGTAATGCAGATTTATGTAGCAATTGGTGAAGGAGGAGAGCCAGATGTAACATTATCCCGTTGTCTGACAAAGCAGGACCAATGTGCAACAAGATCACTTTGCTTAACCTATCTTATCAGTCCAACAAAATGCATTTCTTACCCTATTTATAAACTATACTTTTCTGACTATTTCAGCAAACAGATTTTCAGATATACTCCGAGTACTGCAACAACCATCCCAGCGCTTATGCTGAACTGTCCAAACTAATGAAGATCAATAAGTATCTGTACTTTTTTGAGGCATGTCGGCTACTGCAAAAGATGATTGACATTTCCCTGGATGGGTTTCTGCTGACACCAGTACAGAAGATCTGTAAATACCCACTGCAGCTGGCAGAGCTGCTCAAATACACCAATCCAGAGCACAGGTAAGCACCAAACCAGTACGCTTAGTATTTGGAGTCTGCAATCCGGTACAATATTATCAATAAATGGTTATTTGAAGTGCAGAACGTCTGACTTTCAATCTCAGCCATGCTTCCAAGACTGGACAAAACATCGACCAATTGCCTCCATGCATAAAGATATCGTGAAAGCTCCAGGTCCAAACAGTTCATAGATTAAGAAAGTAGGAAAATATTTGTCTATAATGAAAACGTAAGCATCACTTTATTGGCTGTCGAAGAAGAAGTGATACAAAATATAGGAGATGTTTCCTTCAAGCCCATTTACATTAGGTGTTGCTTTGCTGGTATAAATGCAAAGATGTACACTATATTAATACTCAATTTTGTCATCAAGAGATTACAAAGATGTGGAAGCTGCCCTGAATGCCATGAAGAATGTTGCTAAGCTGATCAATGAGCGGAAGAGGCGGCTGGAAAACCTTGATAAGATTGCTCATTGGCAGAGTTCGATCGAGAATTGGGAGGTAAGAAATAAGACAATGAAGCCTTCCCACTAGAGAATTTTCTGCTGGAGTAAAATGTAATCAATGTAATCAATACACTTTCCTCATTCTGATGATGTTCATCATGTTCCATCACTTACTTTGTACAATGTCCAACCCAGTCCTATTAATATGATTACCCAAAGCAAGCAAAATATTCCTCGCTGAGTCAATAACTGATACACTTTATTCGATATTTGCACATCTATTATTTAACAATGTTATATTTGCAACATCTGCCAAAATCAGAGCAAATACTTTGCCTAATTTTATAAAACTGCTTCCAAAAACACCATTACTTGTCTAACCAATGTGTTGTCACAATCAAAAGAAGAAATGCTGCTGCTAAGATCACAAGTGAATACATAATTGCTGCTTTTGCTACCTGCAAAATTAATCACTGAATGAAAACTGATTTTAAAATAATATGACTTTGTAACTTGCCTAGCTCATTACAAATGTGCATTGGGCTTGAATATACTGTAAAACTAGAAACAGGCACTCCAAAGCTATTGAAATGAAATGTAACTATTTGCCAACCTAGTCAGAGCAAACATTTTATCTATTCCATCCCATTTGGTAAACTTGATCTCCTGTATGTTTCCTATTTAGATAAAGTATTTGTATTTTTCCTACCCTCCCTTTCGTTGATCCTTGTGGCATAATTCTATGGTCCGTTTCCTTTTTAGAAAAGGGTTTTGAACTCTAACCTATGTTATCATTCGCCTTAAATAGTTTGAAATTGTAAATCAGTTTCCATAAGACTCTTTCTTTTCTAGGGTGATGATGTTTTGGCCCGAAGCTCAGAACTTATCCATTCTGGTGAATTGACTAAGATCTCACAGCCACAAGCCAAGAGCAAACAGCGGATCTTTTTCCTCTTTGACCATCAGGTGGTCTTTTGCAAGAAGGTACAATTATAATCAGGAATTGATTGAGAATTATATAGAGTCAATTATTTAAGAAGAACGTCTCAATAACAGTGCTACTTTAAAAAAGAGTCTTATCAAGTTATATTTAACGATTGCTTCTTTTTTCCCCCCCAAAGTTTTAATATTTGTGTTGGAGTACAGATAAAACGATCAGCTGAAAAGAGGTCCTATCCCAAAATGCAAGAGAATTGAACTGACATAAATCATACTCTAATGCTAACTAACTAAGTTTCCTCACAGCTTTAGGTAGTTTATCATTCCAGTGACATCATTAGAACACATTGTTTGATACACATTGTCTGACACTTTTTACAGGACCTTCTGCGTCGGGATATTCTGTACTACAAAAGCAGGATAGACACTGATAGCATGGAAGTGGTGGATGTGGAAGATGGAAAGGAGAAGGACTTCAATCTCAGTGTGAAGAATGCTTTTAAACTTCAAAACAAGTTCACAAATGAAGTCCATTTGTTCTGTGCAAAGAAATCCTCAGAGAAACAGCGCTGGCTTCAAGCCTTTGAAGACGAGAGAAAAAGAATTCAGCTCGACAAAGAGACAGGTAATAACCAATATTACGTAAGCAGTGATGAAGTTATGTCAATTAGTTGCCGATGACAAGTAATTTCAGCGTAGGCTTTTGCCAATTTTCTCACCTCTTTGCTTTCAGAAGGAATCAATGTGTGGCACTGGACAACAAGTGTCAGCAGGCTGTTTACTTGCGGAGAGCATTGCAGCCAAGTCTAATCCTGCCTTCACTCGCATCCATACACATGCTGTTTCCATCAAGTGCCACTGGCTAGCGATCAGGAACGAGAACACAAACAATTGGTTTTGCTACACCATGTTTCGCTGCAATCAGTAATGCTGTCCATATTAGACGTTTCCCACGTCTTCAGTATTGTGAATGCAGTTTTAATATACAAATATACAGATTTCAGGCAAAAAATACTCAACTCCCACCACATGCATGCATATGCCATGTCCCAAACTATATACGGTTATAAAATAAATGTATATTTTCTATCTTAATACTATTGTATTGTTGCAACGCCGTTTTCTTTTCCATTCGTTAATTGCAGGTGATTTTTTTTCAGATTTGCAATATTGCTTGAAAGTGTAATGTGCCATGTTGCTCAATATTAAGATAATAATGGCAGCAGACCCAAAAAATCTATTTGTTGCAATTGTGTTAATTTGTAATATTTTACTATTTTTGAAGGTTTTGCCATCACAGAGGTGCAAAAGAAACAGGCCATGATGAACGCAAAAAAATCTCATCCCACAGGAAAGCCTAAAGGTGAATTTACTGACGAGAAAAATATCACTACACATTAAGGCATTTTGATCAATTGTCCATTATGAGAATTTGCTATTTGATATTTTTAATATATTTCTGAATATAATGGATACATGAGTAAGGATGGTTTTGTTGGGACGGTTTAAAATTCTAGATGAGTGAAAAGGTAATTTATTATTGTGAAACTCGTTATTCCGCTGAAGGTTGGTTACCACAAGGTCAGTTTAGTTAAACAGCTTCTAATCTACTTGGCAATTTCTGAATGTAAACCATGCAGATAAAGCACAAAGATCCAGTCCATCAGAAGTATGTTACTATTGGAACATCAAGTCCATTGTAAATATGACACTGAAGTATTTATGTCAGAAAGTGTCATTTATGTGGAGTCCTGTAGCTCAGTGGTTAGAGCACTCGCTTTGCAAGCGAGATACCCGAGTTCAATTCCAGGCAGAGGGCGAAACCTTGGGCAAGTTTCCTTACTCCATACGCCTAATAATAATCCCTCCAAAAACCAAAAACAATAATTAAATTGGTCATTTTCAATCTACGACTGTTTGTGGGACATGGCTGTGCGCAATTGGCTACCATGTTCGCCCACAAATATACAGTCAATTCACTTTACAGTGTGTTCTGTGAAGCGCTTTGGGACGTCCTCTCGACGTGAAAAGCGCTATATCAAATGCAAGGATTATTATTATTATTATTATAAACCCCCTCCTCTTCAGCTTCTATAGCTTGACACAATGGGTGTCCAGAGATAAAGACTCCAGCTACTATTGCCTGCATATAACTAGTCTTTATAACATTCTCCTTAGATGGGATGATGGGACGTTGATTATGATTGAGTAGGTTTTATTCTAGTGGTCCGTGCCTTTTTGCCATTTCATGGTTTTGAATTACTTTGTTGTTTGATAACTGCGCAAAAACAGAGGACAAAACATTAATCCTGGTCTATGGTGTGTTTAATTATACATAATCGTAATCTTGGCCATGCCTCTTTCTTGTTTAACAGACAACAGTACCTATTTTCAGGTGGGTGGTTTGAGGCCAGGAGCTTCCTAACAGAGAAGGAGAAATTCAACTGGGCTGAGATAAAAATTGAATGCTGATTTTTTTAATGGAATTGAGAAAGTAAACCCAGAACAATACTTTCAGTTATGCCAGGACAGCTCAACAAGTGACCATATGCTCAGGAATGCAAAAATAGTTTCAGGAGAGACAAGAATTTCTTTACCCAGAGGGTAATTAACAACTGAAACAGGTTACCAGGAAGGGTTGTTGAGCCTATGATGCAGTAACAGGAGGGTGGTGGTGGTGGTGGGGGGGAATATTCAGAATGAGATTAAATGGGCCAAAAGTGCTTCTTGTGCCTCTCTTGTGAACGTTCAAGAAGCTCTCTTTACCACTCGCATCATGTGAACTATACTATACGTCACGTCCTTTCTGCTTGTATTTGTGATCAATTTATGTCAACCTAACACTATCATGTATGCCAAACAAAAGTCATCTTTCAAGCCAGTTATCAAGCCCTTCTATCTGCTCAAGAAAACCACAAATATACCTTGAAACAATTCAGATCAAGCCTGTAAAACATTAATATAACAGAATCAGCAAAACAAAATTACTCAGTGATGATGGAGCCTATCTATCATGTGGATTTCAATTCAATTATATTGTAAATGGATTCTCAGCCCCAACAGCGACAGTTTAGGCAAGTACATTTGCTTCTTCCCCTCCCGTCCAAGGTTCTCATCTTCATATCCATTTCTCCCTCCCTCCTACATTGCACTAAAATTCCTCAACTTTTAGCTGGCCTTTGTGAACCAAATGAACTTAGCTATAATTTAAATTAACTTTACTACTGAACCAGTAATCATTAAATGAAACATGTTATAATAACCTGAGCAAAAGAATTCGATAAAATAATCAATCCCCGATTAATCAATCCTGAGACACCGCTGTGTGCAATTGGCTGCCACATTTTTCCCACAAAAATCCAATGAATTCACTTTACAGTATCAAAAACAGAAGTCGCTGGGAACGCTCAGCAGGTCAGGCAGCATCTATGGAGAAAGGAAAGTGAGTCAATGTTTTGGGTCCACGACCCTTTGTCAGAACTGGGGTATGTTGCGAAGGAGAGGCTTTTAAGAGCTAACAGAGAGGGGGGAGACAGGGCAAGGAAGACAAAGGAGAAAATGGGGTAGAGGACAGGGTTGATGGGTTAAAGAGGTGTCAATGATGCAAACTAAAGGGAGGGTGGGCATTGCAACAAAGCAGGGGAATAGATGTATTAGTACTGCAGAACAAAGTGGGGGGAAAGATTGCAACAAAATAGGAAGACCAGAGAGAGAAAAGGTGTGTCTGGGACCAAGATGATGGTCCCAGACATAGAAGAGTGGGAAGAGAAGCTGATATGGTCTGAAATTGTTGAAATCAATATTGAGGCCAGAGGGCTATATTCAACTATATTCTACATTTTACAGTAGCCAAAAAGGAACCCTTTAAGCCAATAAACCCAGTCAGCTCAACAAAAGTTCAACAGATCTCTAGAAATTTGACGTTATTACAATTTAGTCTTAATTTCCAGCTATTTAAAACAATAAAGCTTATTTGCTGATTAAACAAAGAAATAGCAGATTTTTGTTATAAAACTTTCTTCAAATGTGTGTTAAACATAGACTAAGCAACTTAGTTGCAATGCAAACTAAGAAGAAACTGACAATATAATAATAAATTATAATTGCAACATTTGACGCAGAACTTTATGTCAAAGCCTCAAAGCACTTCAGTTTTTTTGTAAATTACAGACAATATATATGTAGGCGAACTTCCATCTGGCTCTATACAGCTGGCAGTTGTCGTAATATCAACTAAAATGCTCTAAAAATGACATTCTGACCACAAGTTTACAGTGTAGAAAATGATTGGACTCAGTTGTCGATGCTGAAACATGTAGTAATTGTTCTAGGACCTAAGGTAAGTACATTATAAATCATGTAGCCTCCCCTAAACAAACTGGGCAACAAACCATGTAATGGTAGAATAGTTTTTAAACAGTAAGTACTGTCATTTTTAACAGAGGCAGTTATTACATAATTGGATATTGCTTTGTCATTCTTTCATCTTTCTGAATTCTTGCATCTTTTGAAAAAAAAGTGTTGCTGCATGTGACTGTAATTTTGTGTGTTCTGTCTGTTTTCCTTGCCTTTCTTCTGCTTACTCTTTCTATCCCTATGTTTCTTGAACAAGATCTCCAGCAACTGCTGAATGTGAGCTCCTCTCTGTCCCAGTCCACCACATCTCTGCACCAGCCTCCTTCCCAGCACCCAAAGCCCCCTTCGGCTACCACACTCCTTGAAACCTCTCGGATGTCCCGTGCTCGACTTCTGCTGCAGAAAGGGGGGGATATGACACCCAGCATTTTGCGTAGGGCTATGTCCTGGATGTCCACTCACAGCCGTGACCTGTTTCAGTAATGTCAGTTAAGGTGATTTGCCTCTTGCGCTTTGACTTTAACCAACATAATGAATACAGGTTTGTACTTGCCTGTGAAGCGACTAGTTCTTTACAGTGAAACACAGTCTCTGGTCAAAATCATTAACAGTTGTTTGTCATAACCAGGCAGCATTTAGTTCAGAGAATCAACAGAGGCCAAAAATATTCTACCTTGTCAAACCCTCAGGACTACAAGTCAAAACCATGAAAATTAAGGTCTAGAATATAAATAATCAGGCTCCTTTTCTCGCTCATTCTTTACTATTGAAAGGAAATTTTGAGGGAGCTTCTCTATCTTTGTATTTTCTTTGGGGTTAGGGTGAACTTTCTTTTGTCTTCTGTTCGATATTATAAAAGACATCGAGTGCACTCTTTTACATCTTTGAATGGGATGGAAGTTTATTTTATTTTAACCTCTATTATGTTGGCACATAATTCTCTTTCATTTTTGATTAAATTCCTCAAACGAAATAGTAAATTTCTGATGATGCTTAACATATGGCTTATTTCTCCATCTGAACCCACCTCAATGATTCTTCCACAAGAGTTCATGCAATATTTCTGCCCTTTGTCCCATCATAGAAATTAAATTGATGAATGTCCTTACTGGGTATCTGCTGCAGGTAAAGCTAGGAGAAACCAATGGAAAATTATCATCCTATTCGGAAGAAACTTGTCCCTCTTGTAATGGTTACTACAGGATTAAGTTTAAGATGCAAAAAAAAACTCAACAAATTTCTTCCATGAAAATAGCCACAGTATATTCACATGTATACCGATACTTTACCCCCAAAATTATGTTAAAACGACTATTTTTGAAACTTTTTTGTTTTATAAAAATAGTCATTAATTTCTGCCCAACATTGCTAAAGGTGCAGTTTTGAAATAAGGGTTATGTTAAATATTTAATGTAGATCCACACTTCTAGCAAAATTATTTCTGGGTTGAGAATATAGACTTCTGAAACAGACATATTGCTAAGCAAAAAATAACAAGACTTCATAAATGAATAATCCTTATTTGACTGCATTTATGGCATTTAGCTTCTTTAAACCTTGCATTACAAAAAAAAGGTAACTGTCAAAATTCATGCTTTTGATTTAAAGCTAAAATTTACAAAATGGTACATGTTTCTAATGCTAGAATTGTAATAATCAGTCTGTGCTGTGCAAAAAATTACATGAAATAATTTTCCTATGCTTGGATGCAGGTCATTTTTCCAATAATGATTTTATTAGAAATTTTATTATTAGAAATATAGTTTTCAGATAACAGGTTTTCCTGATGAGTCTTCCAACATTCCAAATATGTTTAGCTAAATATAAAATAGTACCACTCACAGTGATTTCTTAAAGGATTTTAAATTATTTTCATACTGCAGCTTTCCAGACAATGTACCCATTATCTTAAGCAATTTAGTCCAATAACTTATACTGTGGCTAAAGCTGGTGATTTACTCATGTCTGATGTTGCCTAGGTGTCATCCTCTGCAAATAAATGATGCAAACTGGTAAGGTATCAATTGCAATATAGCAATTGAGTCAGTGTTTGAGAAAAGGGGAACCTGCACTTATGGGAAGAACTAACATTTATTTATTTAATTGTTAGTGTTGTGCTAGTTCAAAATCAACTTCGAATTTAAATGCAGATATCTCAACATTGGAAACTGGCATCCTACCACCACAGCTACCAAACAAATTGCTCAAAATTTGTGTGACATGATACTTTTCATTTTCAGAATCACTGCAATTGCTATGGTGATAATAGCCATTGAATTCTGAACAGAGAAATATTAAATTGTTTTGCAATCAGTTTCATCAGTCTCTATGATCTATGAATAACAGTTATGATGACAAAAATATTAGTGACACTGGTCACAAATTCTTTCCAGACTCACAATATTTATGGGAACAAAATGAAAAATATAACAACAACAACAACAAGATTCCATTTATAGAGCGCCTTTCACGTCAGGAGGACGTCCCAATGTATATAAGTAAGAGGACGTAACACAATGTATATAAGTAAAAGTACAATGCAGGAATATTTTACCATGTAAAATCTAATTGCTTATTTTCTTCTCCATCTCAGCTGTCACTAGGCCCTACTATGACTTTCTGATGCTACGACAGAAACACCCAATGCTGCCCTCGAGTGTCCCACAGCAGCAGGTGTATGTGCTGGCTGAGCCTAAGCGCAAGCCATCCAACTTCTGGCATAACATCGGAAGATTGACACCATTCAAGAAATAAAGGAGTGGCTCTGTGCATGTGCCTGAGGCATTTCCAAAGGAGGACTATTGATTGGTTACAGGTGGATTGCTCAATGCACATACTGATGCAGGCCATACTCCTACATGACAACAATTTTAATCTTCGAACCGACAGGAGATGGCGTCTGCTATGACTTGTTCATGGTCGTGTGTTAGACTCATCTGGTCAGAGCACTTCCCTGTTTAGTGTATGCCTATCATCAACAGTGCCAGAAATTATGACAGAGTTGCCTAAGCATTTTCACATTGTTGGCCATGATACAAGCCAGGCATTGTCTCTGGATCCAGAAACAGAACCCCATAAACAAGCCTTTCTCCTTTTGTTTCCCGTGGAAGGAACCAAAACTTGTAAGGAGGGTATTGTATCCCATCTCTTCACAGAGAGAATAGGTTTCTGTTGAAATAGTCAACTGTAAGTATTTGTAAATTCTAGCACCAGGAAACAGGAAAACTTTACTTTCAATTAACAAATTTCTGTTATTTCAGTTTAACGTTCCTCTGTGCTTTCATTAGAATCAAATCCTGTGTGTTAACTAATGTGCCTATGTGCAAGCTTTATTTAAAGTTTGTCATTGAAAATCATTTTTGCCAATCCTTTTCTAAGAGCCACGTTCATTGCATTAGACTGAATCATTTTGGAGTTCAAAATCTCAAATGTAACTTCTTGCTTTTATGGTATAATATGAATTTGTGCCAGTGACACAAAAACAAAACAAGCTGCAATTGTAATGAATTATGGATCATTACAAAAAAAAGTTTCTCTATTCTCTGGTGCATGGACTTCAATCAGTGTTGACAGAAAATATGAAGATCTCTTCATATCATGTGTCTCATAGCTAGGGATCACTAAAAAAAAATTGCTGTTAATCTCAACCTTATTCATAGAATCACAGAATAGAATTATTCTTGGACATAAATCCACAGCCCACCATGTCTCACAATTGGCACTGAAATGAATGAGTGCGAGATCATCACTTCCCCTTGCGCACAAATATACTCAGTATTATCTGCCACAAGATAAAATCAGTTTATGAAAGGCAAGTGCCACAATAAACTGTTAAGTGTACTAATAGGTTTATAAATATTATGTAAATATTAACAAAATGATTATTTATGTACATTGAATTTATATACTTGGATGTGCTACTCGGTTTCTCTCCCTTCTTTCCAGTACTGATGCCTTATTGAGCAATGCCCCCCGATTGAAGCTTATTCTGTTTGCAGGCATTTTATTTCGAAGTAGCTGTTGTTTTTTAAATTTTCTTCCGAAAGCATCACCATTTTTTAGAAAATGATTTTTTTTCCCCCAAACGTGTGATTCGTGTTGTCAGGCATTGTATTAGATGTTACAGTTCCAATTTTACTGCTTTCTCCTGATCACTATCCAGCAACATCTGTTGGAAAGTATACAAGCTTGAATATTGGTTGAGGAAATCATCTGGCTTACATGCATTTCTCCTCCAATAATCATCATCAAGGCTCACTCAAAAATAATAACTACTTTGGAGTCAATTGCTTCAGACAAGAAGGGGAAGAAGAAAAATTGCCAATTTTTAAAAATCAAGTTTAATTACTAAAATGTACAACATGGCATGTGCATGCTGTACCACAATACACAATATTAAACTTTACTTTGTACTCTTCTGCATTATTCAAAAGATTCTGAAATGTTTTTAGCAGATTGCTAAAAATCACTTTTGAAGAACAGTAATTAATGCAGATTTTTGTTAATGCAGCAAGTGGGAAAGCAGCTTACAGCACAAAATGAGATCACAAAACTGTTTTCCATAATCAGCACATCATGGCTCAGTAAAACTGTTAGTGCAACAAAGATAGTGGCAAATTGAAGACACTATTGTATATGTATCCCTTGAGCAAGGATAGACTCTGATCAAAGGTTGAAAAGTTAATAATAATCATTTCTAGCATTTGCTGCTGTGTTGTAAGTGCTACAGTGTGTCTTCATGGAACAGGAATATATGACACTGGATTTGTGCATGTTGTGTGGCTATTCCTACTTAGTGCAAAATGACAATCAAAGTGATGGCAATAGTAAAATGCGGCAGAGGCAAAAGTAAAATCAGTTTGACATTTTCGTATGATGGCATTCCCATTTGGCCTTTGAAACAGAAGGTCACTGGGAGTTCCATCACCAACATTGACATGGTATGTTGACTTTATATATGTACTAAAGATGTAGAATACTGCCACGCTTTTTGGGTATTTTTTTCTGGTAACCAGGTGTTAACGCAAATCACATTTTCAAACATCTGCATGTAGTGTTTAAGATGTAGTTATCAAGAAAAGTCAAGTTTTATCCTGTTCCCCTGTGATTTCATGGCTCTGAGATCCTGACTGACTGAATCCTGTAGTCAAATAGCAGAGTTCAGGCAACTAAAATTGATTCAGTAAATCCAAATTCAAGTGAGGAGTGTTTTAACTTATTTAGATTCAATCCAAAAATTGGATCAGTTTAAGTTCAATTGATTGGAAACCAACTTGCATGGTTGGATCAATTTAATATTTAGGTCAAATTCATCCTTCAGAATTTATGCATTGCACAGAACACAGGGCCAAACCTATGACATTTCAGATGATATGTGATGTTTGACAACAAAATACCCTTTTTTAAAAAAAAGGATCATGGCAATAATCGAAAAACATTGTGTTTTTTTTCTTTTGCTAATAAAAGTCTATTTGTTTTGCTAATCAATAAAAGTTTTGGAGTGCCAAGCTTCTTAAAGGTCCCATCATTGTGATAGGAGTTGATGATGGCCTGTGGACACAATAAGACATATTGTGTTTGTACATTCTTTTCAGTGTGCAAACCTCTTGAATAACGATGTGAGCACATTACTTGAGCAGTGTTTCTAAGACCTCCCTGGTCTTGTATCTATGATATGTTTAAATCTTCTACAGTACTAAGTCTGAGTGAAAGGTCCATTCTCTGTGGAAAAGAATTGTAATTTTCTGTATATATTTCTCTAAACTTGCCAACCAGTTTTGTAGCTCTTATGTTGCTGGAGTTAAGTTTCTTGACTCTATTTTATATTTCTCTTGCGTGCTAGGCACTTGTGATATGTGAGTGGAATTTGTTAAAAAAGTACATCTGCAGTATTTGTATAAATTATCTCTTTGTATGTGGATGATTGTTTACATATGCACTTAAAGCACGATATGGGGAATAAAACAAATTTCTTTGTGTCAATAGTGTTTCTTATTGATTTACACTTGGATTGTTACATTACAATCCTCTTTAGTAAATAATTGTTGTTACAAACTTGTCTTGAAAACTTAAAAAAACAGCCTTCATTACACATAAAGAGTTTATGCTGCTTTGTTACCAGTTTACTGACCACTCTTTCACCATCTAACATCTGAAATGTTCCATTGGTTAAAGTTAATGATGTTGTTTGGAGCTTTATTGATATATTTCTTTATACAGCACAAACATTTCAAATCGGCTTTTCCCCACATTAGCCAATTTAATTTCACTCTCCAGTTCACTGTGCACATCCATTAATAATCCTTTTTCGAGCACCTATCGAACTCCTTTTCAGAAGAATTCATGCAAGAAATGCAGAATTGTTACTGTTAACGATAGTTATGCAAATCTACTGAAATGCAATACTTTTTTCAGGCATCAATGAAATTGGATTAATTTTATAAAGATGACCAAGCAGCAGAAAATCAACTTCCTTTACAAATCTCCATTATAGCATCACCCTCACCACATAGCATCAAGAGAGTTGGAGAAAAAAAAACTCCAGCAAGTATTGTTGCAATGCATCGCCTTTGGCGATTTCATCCACCAGTGGCATATCCCATTATGACTGCACATGGTCAAGGGCATGTAATGTTCCCTGGAATAAGGGTCACTCCAGTTTACACTTTGAATGCATGCTATCTTCCCTCTCTGGAAATTAATACAAGAGATATGTTCAGGTACAGACACCTTTTTGTATTGACCCAGCAGCCTTTTCTTTGAACCTGTAACTGCTCATCAGCCGTGCCTTGAGTATACTCGAACAAATTACAGCAATCATGTAGTAAATTTGATTTAAGCGGACAGAACTTTAGCTACATCTAGTGGTGGCTGTTTTATTGGTTCCTAAAATAAATCTATGGTAGCTTTTTTTTAATATATCAGGCTAACAACAGTCTGTAAAAACAGAAATGATACCCAACACCTCAACTACATGCTCTTAATCCATGAATGACAGAATATATTCTAATTTTAAGAGCTCAACATATAAAATATTTTCAAATGAGATATTTTATTTGCAAGCAGTGAGACATCTTTACTGAATTACATTGTTTAAAAGCCTAATGGTTAAAAATGAGAACGTTTTTATTGAACTTGTAGAAATATAGACTTAATATCATTCTGATACAATGAGAAGTCTTTGCAAGACCTTACATTGGATTCAACATGCACTGAAAAAAGACTGAATTTAGAGAAGATATCGCAATTGGTACCTTAAAGACTATAAAACTGTTAAGAATTAACCAACACTCTTCTATTAACGTGAACCCCCAACTAAGCTATTCTCCTTGATTTTAAAGTCAGCAATAAACTCAAATAAATTATGGTTTCATCCTTATCTGCTAAATTTGTAAATAGCACATTACAGTAGACAGGAAACTCCACTGATGATTGACTGGGCAAGAATACCCAGAAAGAGCTGGGCCATGTTTAGAGCTTTATTAATATATTTCTTCATACAGCACATAAACATTTCAAATCTGCTTTTCTCCATATCAGGTTAATGTCCAGGTGTATGTAGCTAAGATGGGAGGGAGGCAAACATTATCCTCAGAGCGCTGAGATAGGGAAGTAACTTGAAGGAACTATCTGTGCACTTAAAAGGTACATACTGGTGATTGAGGAGAACCAAAGGAATCCTGCCAAGACTTTTTTAAATGAAAGTTAAAGGTTAATTTGTTTTCCCCACTCACTCCTGTGCCTGGTGCTGCAGAGACACAAACTATTAAGGTTTTTAAATGAACTCCATTACTGAGGGCAAATCTGCCTGGCTCTGATAGTCGGGTAGCCTTACCTACCATTTACCAAGGGATTTGTATGTACCTTCTTCCTGTTAACAACTCCCAGTCCTCCTGGGGCAGAGTTGCTATCTGTCTCTCCAAGTCTCCATATGGCCACAGCTGACTGATTTCCACCCGGGGTGAAGAGGCACATCTGATCCCATTTACCAGTTTGTACCAGTCAACCTGATCAGCACAATTCTTCACAGCCTGTGGGAAGTTCAGTTGGCCTGGTTTATTATCTATTTATTGCGAGTTCATTTAATCTGTTTGAACCTAATATGTTAAGTTATTTAATAGAAACTGTCGGAAGGTAGACAAATTCTGTATAACTGTTCAGGAACCTGGTGGATCCCCACCTTAGCATGAGATAATGGGGTGATAAAGCTGGTTGAACTTGTTCGAGTTCCTTTCATGAAAGACAATGAATCCTATTTTCCAAATAAACTAGCAGGGGGTAAAATAAAACTATAGACAAGTATCTTTTTGGATGACTTTTGGAGGTCACGCATTCAGCCATCGCCCCCTGAAACTCTGTCCCTCAATCCCTCTGCCTCTCTCCAGTCCCGCCTGAAAACCTTTATTGACTGTGCTTACGATCACCTCCCTCATTACCCCCACCCCCCTCCCCCAGCTGAGAGTTCAGGCTCCGCCACCGTTAAATGCTCTGAGATGCTACCCTGCATGGAGGATGCTATATAAGTTCAAGTTGTTGTTATATCCTTAGAGAAGTGACCTGCACAATAAACCTTTGTATGAGGTATGACGACACATCTGGTGGACATCTGTAACCTGCTGAGACAATGGCTTATCACCATAGCCCTCAATTTCAATCAATGCTGATATTAAACAAAATGAATCCAAGATTGGATTACTCATCTTAACATCTTGATCGCCTTGTGTATACAATTTGAGAACCTAATGTGGGAGATTGGAAGCTTTGGATGTACGTACGTCTACATCGATCATTTATAAGAATGAATAATGCATTCAACTATATGAGGGGAAAGGTAAATTCATTGGTAAGTGTAAATATTGAACTTTAGATCACTGACAAAAACTCTTCACCAAGAATTGTTCTCAATTTGTATTTTTTTGCTCTCTGTTTCTGCTAATAATTAGTCAAAATGAAATAAATATGCCCATAAAACACAGATATATTTTAGAAACTAACAAGACAAATCTAACTAACAAGAATGGTATAAAGTGATTATTTGACTAATAGTACTGAAGCCAATGTACAAAAAATGTCAATAATAATAATAATCCTTCTCTTTGATATAGCGTCTTATAACGTTTTTGAGAAGTCTCAAAGTGCTTCACAGAATATACTGTAAAGTGAATTGACTGTATATTTTGTGGGGGAAGAAGCAAAGAGATGTATGTACAAGATGAATTTTTTAGGTGCAAAAGTAATTCTTGCTTCTGTTCTTGAAGGTAATAGATTATGATGAACCATACATATCCTTTGTAAACTAACCGAGAACCCAGTGGAACCAGTTCATGATCCCCAACCTGAACAACAAACCAAGGTCCTGGTTGAATAGTTTGGTTTCACAATCCCTCTATAGGTGAAGCAAACCTCTAGATTAGAGCCAATAATGTCTGTAATTTCAATAATCAATGCAAAAGAATATCTCACACACACAAAAGCAATTATTGAGGTAAGATTCATATAGTAAATGAGAAAATGATTTCTGAACATCAACTACACTTCATCATTTTATATTTTGTATCCCACATGAGGGGAGGATAAATCCAAACCCCAAACTATAACAATTTTGAAATCTTACTCCAACAAATGAGAATGAAATGACATCCTGGATAATTAAACAGTGATTACCTTAGCTGGGGCTTAGCAAATGGTTCCCAGGCTCAAAAGAGGACCTTTCAATTGCATCGGATCTAGACTGAATCTAGCATAGAAGGACTTAGTTATGAAAAGTTTGATTCTTTAGTTCTGGCATTACTCATAGAAAGGAAACTGTAACTATTGAAGGCAGGGAATTTGGGCCTGAGATAATATATGGAGAAGAAACAGAAAAGAAAAAGAATAGACAGGTCATCATGTCGGTGACGGGAGAATATTTAATGAATCAATCAAGAAAAAAAAACACAAATGCCCAAATTCTCAGTACTCGTGCACTCTCAAAGTGGTAATGTATTAGGTGTGACAGTCCCTCTCACAATACTGAAAATAATGTGTAAGTGTTATAGTTCTCTTGGAACATATCAATGTCATTGATGCAAAAAGGTGCAAGAAGGCAACAAGAGAAAGATGTATCTGATCTCATTGACAAATATAAATGTACAGATTTTATTGATGTCAGACATTAAAGTAGCTTTCCTGTCTCTTCAAGTTGGGCTATTGTCAGGAGCCAAATGATAACTTATCAGAAACCACAGAAAATTGGAATATAGAAAATCAAAGTCCTGATTCATTTGTAAACCAGGTAAAGAAATCTCATTTCAGTGAAAGTAAGATAATTTTCCTAACCATTAATTAATAACCTTATTTTCTATATATATTTATATAAATGCGAGTTTCATGAGCTCAGCCCCAATTGACAGAAATTCATGAATCTGGTTTTAAGTAATACCCAATGTAAGAAATGGAAACATCACACTGATCAGCATGATGACGAGATAAAATATTCCTTCATAGCGATGGTTATTGTAAACCTAAGTACTACTAATTGCATGCTTACATTTACTATTATTAGCACTGAAATTGGCCTCTTTCAGAATTGCAATCTCTACTTTCCATTATTTTCCGTTAGTTTATTAGAGGTCATCCTCCTAGTCATCATACTGAAAGGTCAGAGTTACATGTCATGAGTTAAATTCCTCCTGCAAGTTCTCTATATCAATTACACAAACAACAGGAGACAAATTGCATTTCTTGAACTTGCATAGAATGCAATTATAGATGAAATGATTGTACAGTTTATAGATGAAATGATTGTATAGTTTTCAGTCTACTCTTAAAACAGACTTTCTTTCTGTAACTAAAGCTAGGGTATTATGAAGACCCATATGAATTTTGGACAGAATCTGATGATAATGAATACTGCCAGCCTCCTGATCCTTACACTTATGAGGTAAAGAAAAGCAACCTTAACTAAAGTAACAGATTGTATAAAAAAATCCATTACATTAGAA